ACTGCACTGACATTTTAACCTTAAGACTTAAATGTTAATTTTCCACCTCCAGTACCTCAAATAGTTCAGGGGAAGTGAGAGCTAACACACAAGAGAACACAGGCTAATGGGAAATTGGAAGTCTTCCTCCCAAACCATCTCCATTTCATGTAGTTGATCCTATTACACAACTGTCACACAACCTAATGAAGAACAAGTGTGGGGAACAAAAAAAATGAGCCAATTTCAATCCTGGGGTTTATTTCCACGAACTTGTTTCAAAAGGTGTATAAAATTCCTTAAAAATTATAAAGTATTCCTAATAACTGAGACACCATCTTCATATCCACAGAGTCTCAGGAATATTTAGGTGTTAACTCACCCTTGATTTCAGTTGAATGAAGTGCGTAAATACTTCTAAAGATGTGGATTTTCAGAACACCATGATACAATGGCAGATTTCAAGCTTTACTTCTTCTTGAGTGCCACACAAGATTGTGACTTCTTCTGATATATTTTTAAAAAATCATGTTTTGAGTAAGTAAAGTGTCAGACAAAAAAAGTCTTGTTACTTCATTGAACTGGTACAGAAGAACCACTAGGAGTAAATCCTAATATTTAAATAATTGGCCAGGTTTTTACAACAACAAAACATCCACATGCAAACATACACACACACTCATTTACTTCAGAATTTGGGTAAGAAAAGACATCAGGTGGCATTTGAACTTCAGTTATTTGTGAAGAATCCCTATATCCTTGAAAGGCACATAAATTTTCTACAGACAATACATAAAGTACATGCAGAGTTACCACTTAGTGTTACTCCTCAGAAGTCTGAATTTAGTTATAACAAGCACTGATGCTCACTGAAAGGGCTCAGAAAGCTTAGGCCCAGATTTATAGCATCATTTGACAAAAAGTCAATAGCTTTTGGAGAGCAGTGCCTTGCCAACGCAGATGTTGCCGCAGACATCTGTTAGTTTAACAATGCTGAGGTGCATCTCCCTCTGCAATCCCACCCTACCAGGCAATGGTCTGGAAAACCTCAAAGCATAACACATTTAGTTCAAGAAACCATTTCAGGGATCCTGACTTCTCTCCCTTATCATCTGTAGCACATGTTTACCGTTTATGGCTCATCACCAGCACACGCAATCACTTATACTCCAAATGTTCAAGGAGCTCTGGAGCTGAGGAAGAAAATGCATTAATATTCTGAACTACCTGCAGAGATCCGGGCTTGGAAAGGTTCACGATTTTGTACTGCAATGCCTGGGTGCCTCTGCCACACCGTGCTAACCTAAGTCCCTCCTAACAAGTGCGGCTTGCATACATAAAGCAATATTGATTCAGCTGTGCAGTGCTGTTTGCCCAGCCTTTCAGAAGCACAGCTTCTCCAAACACTGCTGCAGATATCAGAGCTGCCTTCCGAGGAGAGGGGAGGTTTTGTCAGCCAGGCTCGGCTTAACAACGCGCTCTGCGCCAAAGGCTGCATTTAATTAACTTTCCTTGGTTGGTCTCAGAGTTGTTTTCTACTATCTGATCTTGTCTGCATGAACCCCATTCTGATTTCATGCAGGAAGGAGGATTGCAGCCACAGCCTCTTTCGTAAATAAAACTGCCCTGACTTATAAAGGATCTGTTGATAGGAGCAAAGATACCATGGTATCCATGCCCGCATAAAACACAGCACAAAACTGCTTTCTGAAGCAAAATACCTGGAGATTAAAGCTAAAGGAAAGAATGCCACCCTTCTGAATGAGCAGTTCAGACAATTTAATAAAGACAGGACATAAGGGATGGTTACTTTGAAATGAACACTTTTATCTGTACCACATGGAGTCTTTCCTAGTGGCACTGCTAGAATTAATAGCACAATTTCATGAGAAAGAATAAGAACTTGTCTTTGTTTTGCTGTTCACAGGAGCCAGTTTGTTTAAACCTTCCAACAAGAAAGATAAACAAGTTGATGTTTTACATGAACTCCTTTATCTGTCACTTAAAATGCAAAACAAAACATGACATATTCCTGCTTATCCAGCTGTACTAAATTTAGTATATAAATACAAGGACTGTTCAAGGGTAAGCAAAGGATTTCTGTCTCAGAGATCCTCTAAAATTCCTTCTTGATGCTTTTTTCTTTCCTTTTCATACAAACACATTCTAGGCAGAGCTAGAGCTAGCAGTGCTAAAGAAAAAATACACTCAAGTTTTGCTTGAACTTCTAACCCAGATAGCAAAGTGTATGTGAAGGTGTGAAAGCCATATCCCTCTCTACCCACAGCTGTGTCACTTCACATACCATCACTGCAAATACTATTCCTCATACTATTATTTTCCTTCTATACATCTATACATATTATTTTCCTTCTATATTCCTGTTGTATCTGTAACATCTTTTCAGAATTTATTGGGGGGAAAGCATTTCCAAGCTTATAGTATGCCAGGTTACTTGCTATCAGACTCTGCAGCTCACAGGCATATTCATCTTTCCCATCAAGTCTTTTTAGCTGCAGGCTTTCAAGCTTCAAGCATTTTAGATGGGTGAAAATGTCAGTTCCTCCAACTCTAAGAAAGAAGCAATGATGTACCAGAAAATAAATAAATTACATCTAAGTCACTTTACCTCTCAAAGTCCTGGCTTTGCAAAGGAAGTGTCCAGGAAAACTAACTCAGTCTTTTTGCATGGCTTATCCTTATGCCATTAAAATTAATATGAAACAATATGTTCCTTTTTAACCACTTGATGAGTCAGTGCAGCTCAGAAAACTGATAAAAGGTTTGTGGAAATAAATTAATATTGCATGAATGCTGCTGGAGCTATTAAACAAGCATAAGCAAGAACCCATCACTGAAGCCAAGAGACCTTTATACAATGAGAGAAAGTGGCAGAAAAGTCAACAATCATTATTACAGCAAGTTCTTCGCCCTGAAAAAATGGCTTGTGACCTAAACAGATGTAAGCAGCCCTTATCTCTGATATAAACAGTTATGCTGCTTATCTCAGATCTTACAATTCTATTACATTGCTTTTAACAATACAAAAGCTGTTCTTTTAGCACCATTTTTTTTCTTCACAGAAAGGAAAATTTATCAAAATTTTATCTTTCAGTAAAAATCTCTCTTCAGAAGAAATGAGAAGGGAAGAAAAGTAGGGGTTTTTTTTAAGCTATGAAATAGCTCAGTTATAGGTGTTTTGGTTATGCTTTCACAAGGGATGCATGAAATACAGTTGATGACAGATATGAGACAGCAAATACTGTGACTTGTGTCTTCAGTAGGCAAATGTGGTCAGTTGCCTCTGCTGGAGGCAGAGAAAAAGTTCAGAATTATCAGCCTTCCTGCAGGATTCAGAAGCAGATCTGCAGATCACAGATGCTACCAAAAAGCAGCTGCTGTTTCTTACCCACTTTCACATTTTACTTCAGAAATACTCACTTGTGTGCAAAAAGGAGGCAAACCTTTTCAAAGCAAGCCCTGCTTCTGAGCACAGTGACCTCCACAAACTTCAGCTCCTGAGCTCTCAACCCAGCAAAGCTCTCAAATTTTAATATATCAGAATTTCTAAAAAAATTCCAGAGATACAGGTGAATCAGCAGCACTTTGGGCAGGAAAAAATGTGAAGGATTGCTCAGAAGGGGCCAACTTCCTTTCTGCTACATATAAAAAAATTCTGATAGTTTTTTAGTACTTCAATGTACAATCTCCCAGAGATCCTGTTTCTTTTCTCAAGAATTATCTTCACTTGCATCAAGGAGAGCATTTAAAATACACTCTAGATAACATTTTCCCAGTGGGACAAAAAAAGAATTAAATATTTTACCGTTACCTTAGACACTTTTACAGAATCCCTGCAAGTATTTTTTTAAAACAAGATCAGACACTAGAAAATATTATTGATCAACTGTCTTATTCATTACTGACATTCCTTTAAGTTAGTTATGCCAAAATATGAATAGTTCTACAGAAAAGGTCCATTCAAATTCAAAGATACAACTTCCATAATTTAATTCTGCATGCTAAAGAGTGTTGCATGGGGATTTGACAAACTGCATCTTCATTTAAGAAAACAAGTAGAGCAAGAAGTTTGGAAGTTGCATTTATAGGAACAGCAAAATCTTCAGTGGAGAGATCCCTTAAAGTACAGAAATTGATACAATCTGTTGCATAATATATACAAAACTTCTCCTTTACAATATGAAGTCACAAATGAAGTATTGTATATGAAATTTTGTTTAAAAAAGCAACCCCCCCTTATTGCAGATATACATATTGCCATATATTTCCATGTCAAAAGACAGTATTAAAACTATTCCCTTCCTCCTTTCATCACATATATACATTTTATAACAGTTACTGCTTCAAAGACCCCTCTCAAATCATCCTCTGTCCTTCACTGGGAATGAAATCATTTAATATAGCACATATCCAATCTTCAACTATTATGAGAAAACATCTTTTGTACTATTCCATTAGCCTCATTCATATGGTGTGATGTTTTTCTTGACTTACTGAAAATAAATTATGCAGGACAGCAGAAGAAAGCTGTTTCTGCATAATTCAAGTAAAATCACAGAAAAAGGAAAAATATAATCAACAACTGCAGTGTTCCTTTGAGAGTTACTTCATTATTATAAAAAATAACAATCTTTTGAAGAGGAAGACACTGATAATTACTCAACATAATCCTCTACAAAGAGGAACAAACTGGAAGTAACAAAACAGTTACTTTCACCTGTATTAGGACAAATTAAATGTTAGCATATTTCAGTGTGCTTAATTAAATTAAAATCTCTCCCACATAAAAGTAAATTGTTTTGCTCAAGGTTTAGAGAATGTTTATTTATTTGTTTTTAAATCTATTACATTTTTCCTAACTGCTGACAAGAATAGTCATACCTGGCAGTTTTCCTTTTCCCCTTCTTCTCACCCACACAGGTATTTGGTTTACTGAATCAAACATAGAGCAATTACAGAGTGGAGCAGACCACCCAGCAAACAAAACATGGAAGACTTACCATTTACACAGACTTCAAAAGACTTGCAAAGGTCATCCTCAAACAGGCAGCCTAAAAACACAAAAGAAAGGGAAAAATTAATACAGGTTCCAAACTGTGGATAATTAGTGCGTATTGGAGACCTGTTAAATGCTCTGAAAATCAGACATTTGGTTGGCTTTGGGAGTTCAGACTTGGCAGTAGAGGAAGTCCAGAACAGGTTTGATTAGACAGCACATCTTACTAACTGGCTATATCCAGAATAACCTTTGAAGTTTTTCCTCCTCTCATTTCTCTACTGAGTTTTTCCATGCATGTCACTCTCATTAAGTAATTTGAGGGACTTTGTGTTCTCTTAATTTTGAGCACATTATTATACCACAGCACAGTAATGCTGCAATACACTGCAAGAATATACACCAAGAAACCAAAATCTTGCAATACTGCAAGAATATACACCAAGAAACCAAGAGCATCCAGACAATATTGCCATAGCAATGAGACAAGCCTATAAATCAGGCTATAAATTGCTCAGATTAAGCTTGGATTTAGTAACTAGAACCACTAACCATGACTTCAGGAGTGCTAACTCTTTTGAGAAAGGCTTCCAAATTAAGCCATCCCTACCAACACCCTAATACCTCACAGACAGCTGACAAATACTGATAGGATATACTAATAGGTCCATGAAAAATATCCTTGGATTTTTTTTATTTAAAACAGGAAATTTGATCCCAAAGTTACTGCTTGATTATCCCCTACTGCAAAAGCTCCACTCTTCACCCTAGAAACTTCATCCAGGCTGGCAAACCCACCTCTTTCACTTGGACATATCTCCAAGAATAAAGTATTCTGTTCCCTTGTCACCAAAGTGTTCTGTTCCCTTGGTGTCACCTACCCAGGTATTGAGACAATAGTGATTATTGCTTTTATCCTCAACCAAAATGAGTCCCTGTTGATAGTTGTGAAGGCAACAGGGAAGTGGGCAAGATGTGCCTCTGCTCTGGTCACTCCACACTGAGGCACAGGGACAAGGATCAGGTTCAAAGGCACTGTGAAATATCCTGCTACTGTTAAGGGCACTCACTTGGTTTACCCAACCAATAGTTTCTTTATTTTCTGACAAGGCTAAAGAGCTAGGACTGGAGCAAATCTGAGGAATTAAGCTCTATGTTGGACACAAACACAATATTTTCATAATTAAGCCTTTTCATTTTCCTGGAAAATATCTTATTTATAAATAGCCACACAGAGTTATGATATTAAACAATATTGAGCTTTTCCACACCTTGCATCAAGAAACCAGCCAGGAACTACACCAGATCCAAACAATTGAGCAAATCTTCTCTCCCCAGCCATGCCTATCTCCATGAAAGCACAAAGTACAGCACCTCTAATCACCAGGGAGCCCAGTGGATTATGTAAGATGTCCTTAGAAAAACAACTGAAAGGCTCAGAACCCTCTGACCATGAATTACCTGGCTCCTAATCCTGCTAAAAGAAAAGTTTTGGTGAGACAGAGTGACTTAGGAATTTCTGAGAAGCCTTTCAGCAGATAACTGTATTAGCACATCATTAAGCCTGAACTAATATGCTGTGTGTCTCAGCAGGATTTAGCAGCACATGCTAGGTCTGAGCCCAACTGTGTGAATTCAAGACAAGCTGGAGAACCAAGAGGGTCCTTCACATCCATCCCACATACACATAACCTTACACAGAGTTACAATATGCACATGAATAAAAGAGTTCTCTCATTCTTTTACCCATGCCCCAGTACACAAACTATGGTTTGTAACATATTCTTGAGATGTGGATGATTTTGCTCCAGACAAGTCTGCTGTAAGAACCATCTGACCTGAAACAGTGTCTGGAAACTCACTGAAGATACCCGACTGCAGCCCTGCTACTGACCCAGCCAAGCAGGAGGATGCCTGAGCTGCACACTGACTCATAAAGGGCATCACACAAGAACAATGAGAGGCAGAGGCCAAAACACATCCACAGAAAGCTCACAGAACAAGAGCCTAATTAAAAGAATAACAGTGCTCAGTTTAGAAAGGCATTCTTGCAGAAAATAATAATAAAGACTTCAAGCATCAATATACACTAGACCTGGAAATGTATACTTCAGTGTTCCTATTTCAGAAATCTGAATTTAATTCTTCTTAAGAAAAATGTTTTATGGCTAGGAAAAATCAGTATTCCTTTTTTTCCTGAGAGATTAAAAAAAAAGAATTAAAACCTGAAATATCTGTGTCGAGCAAAATGCTGCTGAATTTGTCCTGTGATGGAGGGAAGACAGGCAGTTTTGTAGTTATTTCCCATCCTGCAGTGCTGTGGATCCAAAAGGTGTCAGATGAGAAGTTGCAGCCAGGAATATTTCTAGTGGAGTGGCACCTTAAAACAGTGACAGGTTCACCTGACTCTACTTATTTGAAGCACCTGGGAGCTGGGATTACAACCACCTGCTGTCTGTAGCCCCTGCCAGAGATAGGCCATCCTATAATAATACACTGACATTCTCAGAAGCAGAAAAATATGGATACAAAATGAACAAAATGGGCCTGCTTAGGTACAAAGAAATCAACAGTTAAGCTACCTCTATACAGAACTCTGATTTTGCTTTATTGACTAATACATTTTCCATGAAAAGCACAAAAGAAAAGTGGCATTATCATGTTTTAGCTTCTCTTTTAATACCTGTTGTTTATTTGATGCTCACTGCAGCAAGGAATCTGATTCAATCAAACTTGTGAACCCATGTCTTGGAGAGCACATTAACAAAGTCAATGCACAGTAAACTATATCCATGTAGGATTACTCTAAACTAGACAAGGACCTCCAAAATGCCTTGAAAAATATTTTGTTTCAAGTTATTTATTGCTAGAGTTGATTGTTATGCATATTTCACCCAACCAGTCAATATGTTAATTTATCTACTAATTTATCTCCTGCTATTCGCTGGAACACTAAGAAGTTCCATATTTCATTTTAAATATCATCTACCCACTATTAGTAATGGTGGTAATAAGTCAACTCTGAAGAGTGACGTGGTATCATTGCCAAAATATATTTAATTCAGTTCATGCCTTATGGTTACAAAATTACATTGCATTTTCTATCAAAAAATCTCCCAGTACACATAAACTGTTGCTACAATACTTTCAAACATCAAACCTAAAGCCCCAATCTCACTTGACGCAGCTGCCCTGAAATAACCAAGTCTGCACGTAATTATCCAGCATAAATTGCCTTGTTAAATGTAGAATTTAAAGAGTTTTCTTACCTAACTTGCATTGAAATTCAACTCTTTATTAACACTTGCATGGTCTTCACATCTCAGTAGTGACAAACCAGGTTAATATTCTGTATATAATGTACAATACAGTACATTTACATGGTGCATTATTAAATAGCCACAAAAAGAGATTTCATAGGGCCTTGCAAATTCTTCTGCCTCCCTTTCCTCCCCCTCTATATCTCCAGTGCTCTTTCTCAGAAAGGCAGTCAAAACATAATCACATAATACTGCTGCAAGTACAGGACTTAAAGTTTATATTTCTTTTTTTCAACTTATTCTTCTCATGAGACACTAATAAAACTATTTCCTTCTCTTCATCATACAGCAGTTCTACTTTCCTAAAGAAAAAAATAGGAAAGTTTAAATAGCACTGGAACATCCTGTTTGTTTAGACTTATTCAAGGAGCCTCTGAAGGTTAGAAAAGTCAAGGCAGCAGATGAAGCCACTTGCATTTCATCTAGAAAAAACTGTAAAAATTCTCTTATCAGGAAAATCTTTTTTTAAAAACTGACATTGACTGATGATTCAAATAGATTATATTATGTTTATTTCTCTGTCCTTTCCCCCTGTTAACCCAGTCATGATGATCCTAAACATCTCTCCCAAGAATGCCATCAATCCTGTAAGAATTTTCTAAATTAAAATTTAAAAGTAGGTCATAAACCCTGTTTATCAAAAATGGTCTTACATTAATCAAAACTAAAAACCAAACAACAGGCAAAACCGGCTGCATTTCTTCTGAAACTGGAAAGTTACAAACCTTTTAAATCTTATGTGTTATTGAAGAATCTCTACCATTCCTTTCACTCTCTTACTACAACTTTCATGGAAGCACTTAATGTCTCTTCACATCTGCAGACCTCAACAACCTCTGGCCCATCACAACATATATGCCAGTATATGCTCCTTTAATCAAAATATGCCAACAATCCTTAACATTTTAGTAGTCCAGAACAAAAGTGCACCCCACATTTACCTGTTTATTTCACGTTTGGCTGCAAGACAAGGTCAGGAGACCTTGCAGGGTGAGCTCATCACTGCTGGTAGGGTAAGAAGCAAGGAAACACCTGGGCAGATCAATGCTTCCTTGGGTCTTTAGCCCCAGCTGTGGAAGACTCTAAATAGTGAATCACATGCTTATTTTCCTATAGTAGGATTAATAAATACAGCCCAGTAATTACGTTTTAGAAGTGATCAACTCACACAACTGTGATAGCTTTAACTGAAAAAAACCAAGATGATGCCCAACAATAATGAATGGTAATCTGAACACATTGGTAGGAAAAATGAAACAAGGTTTCTTGCAGAAAACTGATGGGAGAAGTCATCTGTTTGAGAGAGAAATATTCTGCTCACTAATAGAGGTGAGAGATAAATTTGCTCAGTCTGCTAAAGCTGTGATCTATTCAACACATCCTCATCTGTCTGCCATACATGTGTGCTTAACAAGTCTAGAATTACCCAAAATTGCAAGAATGTCTGGGGGAAAGGTACTTTAAGCTGCTCACAGGCTTTAAGCAAATTTCATCCCAGTTTCTTAAACCCTGGGGTTACAGAGGTATGTGCGCATGCAATGTAAGTATATACTTATTACTCGAAACTTACCAATTGCCTGTGAAAAAAACCAACTGATTAACTGCCTTCCTTACCTCAGTTTCATTTTGGCATTCACTATGATAAAAAACCAGAATATTCCTTGACCCTACCTTTTAAATTTTCATTCTTATCTCATTTACTCCTTTTTCTGTTCCACACTCCTCCATCCTCTTC